TGTGCTCACTTGAAGGCACGTACAAGGAACTGGCTTACTTAAAAAACACCAGGTGCCCAGGATTGCTTTGCTATGTCTGCAGAGTTTGTTTTACTTTCTACCAGTTGACCTTGTCTTGTTTTACTGCACTCTGTTTTTACTGAAATTTTCCTTGTTTTTCTGGACTACTGTAACCTTATGTTACCTCTTGACTTCTAATAGTATATATTTGGAAAAGTTAAAAATAAACGGTGCTGCAGTCTTGAGCTGCAGACCTCCCGACCCCATCCTTTGTCTTATGTCCTTATTTTTCCATCCTCGCCCCATAATTCAGGACACCCTTTCGTTGCCGGCAGGCTCTGGCAATATTCCAGTGATAAGAGGGGTAGATAAATCTCTGCATTAGTGTACATAACTGTGCATTGCAGATTTGCATATGAAAATGTGCATAGGGAAACTACATAAAAGCAAATTAGATTTGTATATGTATATAAATGTGTGAAGTTATACATAGGGTACACATTAGAGCAACATATACACACATATATAACACACATGGAATAAATGAAGTCTACATATATACACATGTGTGCATATCTACACAGAGTTGTATACCTATGTATATCTAGAACAAAAAAAATGATCATCTTGATGCAGAAAAAGCTCTTGACAAACTCCAGCATCCTTTTATGCTGAAAGCCCTATAGTAGGGGATCAGTTGACTGAAAAACGTGTTCACATGACTATTAGCTGGGAGTTTTGCCCTGGCTTTATTCACTGGGAACCCCTTGCTGTCTGTGTTTTCTGAGAATGGGACGGGTAGAACCTTTCCCACATTCAGCATGGGCTCAGGTCTGCAGCCCTTTGCTCAGAATCATCTCTGTATTCTAAGCAGCGCTCAGGGAATCAGCCTTCTCCTCACAGCCCGAGGCAGCTGCGTTGCCTCAGGTTTCTGACACACTCAGGATGTGGGTGTGCACACTGTGCCTCACACAGTAGTACATGGCCGAGTCTTCTGCTGTCAGCCTGCTCAGCTCCAGGGATGCTGTGCTGGAGGAGGTGTCTGCAGTCAGGGAGACCTTGCCCTGGACCTTCTGAGTGTATTTGGTCTCACCATCACTAGGATCGATCCTTCATCCACTCAAGCCACTGTTCTGCCTTCTGCCTCACCCAGTGCATATAATAGCTGGTGAAGGTTTATCCAGAGGCCCTGCAGGCCAGCCTGACCGAGTCTCCAGGCCTCCTCACTTCAGCCCCAGGCTGCTCCAGCTGGACCTGGGAGTGGACACCTGCAGAGGAGAGGGAGGCTGAGAATCCCATCCAACCTCGTCATCTACAGCTTGTGTAGAAAGGGATGGGTGCAGAGGAGCTGGTGGGGGTCACTGGGACTCTGCAGGTAAACACAGCTCAGCGGTGCCCACGACTGGGCTCTGTGGGTCACAGAGCAGCTCCCGGACCTGACCAATGGCCCCTCACATGTCACCAGCAAGAGGAAAGGGGACAACGGGATCAAAGCCGGGCTGGACGCTGGGCTGTGTGAATAGAACGGTGGGCCTTGAAATCCATCAGCGACATGGAGGCCCTGGCTCTGCACAACATCCCGTGCACTCCCACCTGAGGATAAAGACTGACCTAGCCAGGGAGTCCACTTTGTCTCTCCCGAGTCTGAGAGGAAAGGACTGAGCAGGGATCTTGACCTTCCTCAGATATGACCCCAGTGATCTCAGCAGTGTCCACCGACTGTGCATGGTGCTGTGTCTGATACTCTCAAGGATGCATCATCATCCACAACAGAACCACCACAATGGAAGACAGAACAAGCTGTGTGCTGAGGGGCTGGAGAAGAGTAAGGAGAACACAGTAGACAGCTCTGTGGGGAATGCTGTGTCCTGTGGAGAGGCCAGGCCCATAGAGGAGTCAGAACCAGAGTGCTCCACAGATGCTCCTGTGACTGCCATGATCTCAGTGTGAGCCGAGCGCCCCCTGCTGGTTCTGACTGAGCATGACCTCAGTGTGTGCCCAGCGCCCCCTGCTGGTGCTGAGCGCCCTGCAGGGAGGTTTGTGTCTGGCCCACACTGGATTTCCTGCACTGTGTCTCTAGCACAGTAATAGACGGCCGTGTCCTCCACTCTCAGGCTGTTCATCTGCAGGTAAAGTGTGCTCTTGCTGTTGTCTTTGGAGTGGTGAAGCGGCCCTTCATAGAGTCTGCATACTTTATGTCACTACTACTTCCACTGATGTATGAGAGCCACTCAAGCCTCTTCCCTGGAGCCTGGCGGAACCAGCTCATGTAGTTACTACTGAAGTCGAATCCGGAGGCTGCACAGGAGAGTCTCAGGGACCCCCCAGGCTGCACCAAACCTCCCCCAGACTCCACCAGCTGCACCTCACACTGCACACCTGCAAACACAGAGAAACCTGGTCAAAATGTTTACACACGTCCCCTGTCCCTCCCACTACTGTGCATTTGCACACTCAGTGTGCCTTGTCCCAATACATCACCTTTCAGCAGAACAAGGAGAACCCAGCACCGCCGCAGTTCCATGATGAGTGCTCTGTGTCAGCCTGAGCCCTGAATGGTTCACCTGGAATCCAGGGCTGACGTCTCTCCACACCTTCAGGGTCAGGATTGGCTGGTTTTAATGAGTAGAGGAAGGCCCTATTTGCATGTCTTCTGCTACATAGTGAGAGCTGGGGTGGAGGTGTCAGGGAGGGCAGTGCTGAGGCAGATGTGAGAGTCCTGAGGGGCATTGCTACAAAGATGGCCTCCCAGAACACACGGCATCCCATTGCTGCCACCTGCTGGTTATCCACATATTCATCCCACGTTGATCTGAATATTACAGTCACCTCCCTGCACAGATGGGAAAGTACACACAGGTTCCACACAGCCGTGTGCTCTGGGGAGGTACTGATGTTTTCTTCAGCTCGAGGCCTTCGGCCTGCCATGCAGGTGCTCTAGCACTGGGCAGACTTCCAGACCTTCTTTGTACTAGTGCCATTTTGAGAAGGGTCTGATTATTTTGGTCATATTCTCACCTGGAGCTCCATCTTCCTAAGTGAAGTTTCCATCATGGCTGGGATTATAGGCACATGTCAGCACACTGAGCGTCTTTCTCTGAGATGGAGTCTCATGAACTGCTTGGTCTGGCTGTGCTGCTCTGGTGATCTCCTCAATCTTAGTCTGCAGGAGTCCAGCTGACACACACACACCACACTCAGCTATTGGTTGAAAAGTGTTTCCTGAATGGTCTTGCTAGGGTAGATCTCCACCTTCAAGTACCCTGCACTGTGTCTCCAGACAGCTCTGCTTATCGGCCTGGACCATGGGTACCTGTCCTGAGCACTGTAAGCACAGCAGTCCCCTTCCTGTCTGTGTCCTGTCCGGTACTGTTCAGGGCATTTGCAAGAGCATCCAGGGCCTGTGAGACACTGGCTTGGCAGAGAACAGTGAGGCTGAACCTCTGGAGGTCTGGAAATAGAGGCACCTGGAAAAAGGCCCTCAGGGCTGGGCTGGGGAGGGCCAGTGTGTGGTCTTCACACGTGTCTGTGTCCCAGTAATCTGCAGTGCTTTACACTACTGGGTTGTGAATTTGAGGACGTCTGCGTTATGTTTTCTCTTCTTGGTCTCATGTGTACATTCCCATCATCAGTGTTGGACAGCTGCATGCACAATTCACCTGAAACTTTTGTTTTCCTGGTTCCATCATGTTTGCCTGACCAGTCCCTGAGCTCTGGACATTCAGTGAATTCTAGTTGTGAGTGTGCTGACACACTTCCATTAGTGAACAATTCTGTGTTCAGGATCAGCCAGAACTATCTTTTATCATGACAGATACAAGCCTGCAGGCTGCATTTTTTGTGCCTGTCCTGGGTTGGAGCCCAGGGCCTGCACCCAGCCCACGAACTGCTTCTGAAGGCTAACATTGTACCACTTGAGCCACAGCTTCACTACTGCTGTCTTGGATCATTAGATTTAGCAGCACAGACTTGCCCACACAGGCTGGCTTCCCACATGAGCTTCAGATGTCAGACCCTGGAATAGCTAGGGTCAGAGGATCCACTTTTCTTTTCAAAGCAGAGCCCAGGATCTGTTCATGAACATTTGGCAAGGAAGCTGAGATGTGAACTTAGAGAAGAAACAGGAAACCACCCGAGACCCGGAGGGGAAGAGGAAAGCCCAGAGGCTGCCAAGAAAGAGCAGGTCCTGTACCTTCTTGATGCCACAGTTCCTGGTGTGTTCCAAAAGAATGGTGCTCATCTGTGAGCTCTGCAGATCCTCCTTCCTGACCCTAGATCAGGTGTGGCTTTGCTGCACTTTACTTCATTCTGACCACAAACCAAGACAGCCAGGGTTCAGGCAGATTCCTGACAGTGGGCTCTGGTGTATCATTTGTTAGTCAATCTTTCCTATTGGTTTTTCTGCTTCATGTGAATTGTGTATTTGTGACAATTCCACATGTACTGTATATTGTCATCATCTCAATGTCAGTACATGTAACAGATTTCTCATAGGTAAACATTGATTTGGTAACTGATAAATTATTTTCATGTTCTTCAAGTTGTTTTACCAACCTGTGTGTCCTGGCTCCCACTGGCTCCTCTCACTGTGCCCTGCACAGTGACACAGGGCCGTGTCCTCGGTTCTCAGGCTGCTCATTTGCAGGTACAGTGTGCTTTTACTGTTGTCTCTGGAGAGGGTGAACCGGCCCTTCACAGAGTCTAGGTACCATGTGCTACCACCTCCTGGATCAATTTGTGCAACCCACTCCAGCCTATTCCCTGGAGCCTGGCGGATCCAGTCCATGTAGTAACCACTGAAGGTGAATCCGGAGGCTGCACAGGAGAGTCTCAGGGACCCCCCAGGCTGCACCAAGCCTCCCCCAGACTCCACCAGCCGCACCTCACACTGCACACCTGCAAACACAGAGAATCCTGGTCAGCAATGGTCACACACATCCACGGTTCCTCCCACTCATGTGCATTTGCACACTCAGTATCCCTTGCTCCCCATAAATCACCTTTCAACAGAGCAACAAGGAGAACCCAGCGCAGCCCCAGCTCCATGGTGCTGGTCTGTGATCAGTCACTGGTGGAATCAGCTCACAGAGCTCAGGTCAGGGATGGGCTGGTTTTCATGGGCAGAGGGACGTCCTATTGCATGTACTCTGCTATAAAGCAGCTCTGGGGGGAAGTCTAGAGATTGGGCTCCCAGAGCAGAGGTGACTGTGCTGGAGAAGTTTGGTGACAATGGTCACCTTGGAGACATCATGATGCACTGAGCATTTGCTGTGGTTCACACTGTACCTGCAGCTCCTTGGGAGCCTGAGGCAGAGTGTGAGAACACTGAGAGCTGTCTGGGGTGCAGAGGGACACACATGTCCTCTCACTCTGCCATTGTGCCTGGTGATCGTTCTGTCAGCATTTCTGATCACACACAAAACACAAAGTGCAACATGCGTGTGACCTCCATGTGCACATGCAATAGTGTAAAACAATGGTGAATTGTTTCCACACTGGCAGCGTCTCCCGTGGTATGAGCTCCATGCCTGGTCTGGGTCTGCACAGCCAATGAGGGCCCACAGTTCCTGCTGTGTTCCAGGAGAATGGTGTTCATGTGTGAGCTCTGCAGAGCCTCCTTCCTGAGATGAGATCAGGTGTGGTTTTGCCACACTTTACTTCATTCTGACCACAAACCAAGATGGCCAGGGTTCAGGCATACGCTTGGGAGTGAGTGGGCTCTGGTGTTTCACTTGTCACAGTCTAGCTTTATTGTTTGTTTATCCTGTTTATATGCATTTATTTGTAACAATATCATCTGTGTTGTCCATCTCAATAATAATAATAATCTCAATAAGTCACAATCAATAACAATGTGCTCATAGGTAAATTGGTATTTGGTAATTATGGAAAATGTCTTGTGTCTTCTTCAAATTGTTTTATCAACCCTTTGACAGTGTCCTTGAATCAGTCTTTCAATTCATTGGTTACAGTGATTCCTAGTGCTGGACAAGATGGTGAGCTAAATGTGAACAACACTTTTGTCCATGAACAAGAATCCACTGACACAAAGCTGAGCAGATTCTGAGGAAGAGAGGAAAGGAGAAGCGACAGGGAGTTCCTGGGGACCCAGGACATGGCAGAGAAGCAGTCAGGGTGGAGAACCTGTGGCACTGAGCTCTGACCTGTGTGCAGCTCCCCTGCTGGGGAAGAGAGCTGAGCCTTTACCAGGTGATATCAGGTGTGCTCACAGAGGGACTGGCAGCTCTGCTGTGGGACACATGGCTGAGGACCCGTTAAATAGCAAATACCCTGAAATGAAAGAAACAGAAAGAAATCACCAACCCTTGTGTTGGGGGTGTGGACCAGTTATTAGGCAGCTAGTCAATGAGAGAAAGCATCAGGTTCTGACATTGAGTACCAGTCATGGATCCAAAAGAGAAAAGGAAATTGAGGCCTGACTCAAATGGTAGAGAACCAGCCTTGAGTGAGAAAGCAGAGGGAGAGGGCAAGGTCCCTGTTTGTGCAAAAGTGCACAATAAAATGCTTATAAACACATGAGAGATACCGAGTGTTGGGGGCCAAGCTGGGTCATGTAAAGCAGGCTGGCTGACAGTGAGAATGTAAATAAGAACGTGACTGGAAGTTATACCACGGTCCATGAGCACACAAACACTAGAAATGCTGTAGATTCCAAACTCCAGTAATGTCCAGTGGCACATTTCCTTCTTATCTTCAGTTGCTGTGGCATTGTTTACATCACAAGCCAGGAGATTAACCCAGGTGTCCATGAGGGAAGGAATGGAGAAAGGAAATGTGGTGTCTTTGCAAAACAGGAGATTGTTCATCCATGAGAGGGAGGAAGTCCTGGCATTTGTGACAACATAGATGACTCTGGGGAGTTCACATGAAGTGTGGTAATACAGGCTCAGAAAGACAAAGGAGGGCTTTTGACACCTGTGTGGTCTGTATTTGTGAAAACGTGTAAGTCAGCAGACTGCAAGCTTCCTCACTGTCAAAGAATGGAACCTGTGCGCGGTGTATGATCCTTAGCTCTGCGTTGACAACAGTTCCACAGCATTTGTGTGCATTGTCACGTTGCACTCTAAGTCTGAATGTGCATCATTTTAATTGTCAATGTTATGTCAAGGAAGTAGACATAATTACAAAGCTTTCTGACCTTGAGAATTTTTAGCAAAGTGCTGAGGACACCAAACGTCACCATCGCAGCAGGAGCAGCGGCACTGTCGCCGTCCTTCCCTCCTCCCCAGAACCCGAAGCTCTCGGGGGCTCGGTCATCTGGAGCATGTGGGCTGAGCCCTCTCCTGAGCAGGGCCTAGACACCAGCAGCCCCTCCACAAGGTGAGCCTTAACTTTCCCAATGCTCTTCCTGATCTGTTATTTGAACTTACACTAAACAGAGTGGGCAGCCTGTCAGGTGTACTGCATGTATCTGTTGTATACTGTTTAGATGCTGTTAAACACAGTTATGTCCTCAAGCATTTATCAATTCTTAATGGTGTTTTGTCTGTGTTCTGGAATGTTCAGTCTAGAGTATTTATTTATGTCCACACATGTTGCAATATGCGGAGCCTGGGGACTGGACAGTAATGGACACAGGTCTAGAATCAGGTCTGGGGTGCCTGGGGCCTGAAGCCTTCCACCAGCTTTAGGTATCCCCCTGGTGTGAAATTAGCCTACACCAGCATAGAAATCTGCATTCCCATCAAGTCAGGACTGAGTGACCTTTTCAGGAAAGTCTCAGTGCTCTGAGGGTTCATGTGGGAGGTGGCAATGCATCCTCCCTATCCTTTTGGGTCTCAGAGCTTGTGTTTTGGGGGCTCTCACGACATAGCAATGGCATTATATGCCCTTAATATCGAAATTCCATTTCTGTGTGTAATCCTTCAGTAGCAGATACACAGTGGAAAGACCCACACAATGCAATCTTCACATCAGCCGATATGGTGGAAGGATGACACTGATAATGCCTGGAACTGTCAAAGTACGGAGCAGTGGGTTTGCTGGTGCGTCCAAAAGCTCAATGGACGTCTGCCTACCAGCCCGGAAATTAAAACCCAGAAATGAACAGACAATCACCCAACGTCCAGGAGGCTGTGGAGGGATCTTCAGGAGGATGAGGAAATCGATAGGCTCAGGGAGAACAGGGAGAACCAGGTTGACACCGATCCACCCTGGGGCAAATAAGGAAGCTTTCTCTAGAAGCTGGAGGAGCTTATAGGAGAATGGAGAGGAAATCAACAGGAAGTATCTGTACCAATGGTGGTGGTATTCACACTGCTGGTGTCTGTGTGGGGACTCCTATGCTGGGTAAACTTTTGTATGGAAATGTGGTGTGGTATGTAACAACTCAGCGTTGAGCTGGAGGAAGGCTTTGCCATCCTGGAGGCCAAAATCTGAGTTCCACAGCTTGGTGTCTTTACTGTGGTGTCTGTGGTCACCATGGCCGCGGCACACACGGGCACCTGGACCCCAGGCCAGCAGAGCACTGCCCCCCTCCTGCTCCACACACACATAGCAGGTACCTGGAGGGTGCTGTCTCCTGGTGAGGAGAAGGGTGTGTGTACTGTCCAAATGATTCCACAGGATGAAACGTTCACAAGTGTGAGACGCCTTTCCTAAGCCCATGGAGTTCAGACAAAAATCCTTCCTCAAGAAATGAGCCTTGTTCCTTCGGGTAATGGTGTGGTGAGGGAACAGGGCGAGATTTGTCTTTGTCTCAGGGAGGGTAGTATGAAAGGAGGGTGAGGAGCAGCACCACAGGGGCCAAGACACGGGGCAGATGCCTCAGGAGGCAGCTCTGCTCAGCACAAGATTCAGGGTGAGCAGCAGTGCCCAGACATGCACAGCGCCAGGACTCACGGACACCTCCCCTCAGTCCTGGACATGCACAACACCAGGACTCACAGACACCTGCCCTTGGTCCTGGACAGCACACAATTCCAGCACTCACGGACACCTGCACTTGGTCCTGGACATGCACAACGCCAGGACTCACAGACACCTGCCCTCGGTGCTGGACATGCACAATGCCAGGACTCACAGACACCTGCCATTGGTCCTGAGCATCACAGCACAACCAGGCAGCCCATGATTCCATTTCCCCAGAGACGCGGATGGTGGAGGTGAAATCATGTGGATGGAGTGGACAAGGCTGAGCTCTCCATCCCCGTCCCAGGACCACTGTTCAGCCTCCCTCCAGACCTGACCTTCACCTCCATTCCCACAGGAGGCCTGCTGAGAGGCAGCAGGAGAGGGCTGATGCACGCAGGCTGAGACGTGGCACCGGCACGTTCCTCAGGTCTGCAGAAGCCCCGGCCTGAGCAACACCTGACCCCAGCTCCCCACCTGACCTGGGGTTCAGTCCACACACTTACAACCTCCATTTCTAGCTGACCAGGGAAAAGAAGACACAAAGAGGAGAGTCTCTGAGCAGGAACATGTGTCCACTGACACTACTCCATTGTCCAGTCATGAGCTGGATGTGCACAGGCGGGAATGGGAGAAAGGGAAGGTTTGCTAGCTCCAGGGGTGGTGGTCTGGCTTTTCCTCACAGGATTTGGAAGTACTGGGTTAGAACTCAGGCCTGTGCCCTTGGGCCGTCGTGCTGTGACTGGGCCATGCCTCTCATTTTGCTGTCAGCTGTTATTCGGGCACAGCCTTGGTGTTGACTGAGGCTGGGCTTGGAGCTCAAACGCTGTGTCCATAGCTCTGGTGTAGCTGGGGGCCCTGTGTTCCTGGGCCGTCACCCCCAGCTCCTTGACTGAGATTCAGCTGGCTAGTGTTTTCACTGGCTGGATTTGAACCACGATCCTCCAGTCCCCACTTCCCACACAGCCTGGATTGCAGGGAGGACCTGTGCGTAGCCATGTACATCACGTTTTCAACGGGAATTTCAGGGCCTCCTCAGCAGGGAATCCCAGAGTGTCTCCCCAGGTCTGATGGGAAAGTGATCGTCAGGTCCCCTGGCCTTCCTCAGGTCCTGGCGACCACGGCTGGGTCATTGCCGTTTCCAGGCCGATGCCCTGGTCTCATTGATGTGGGAGCATGCTTTATCGTTTGAAGATCTTGATCA